CTCACTCTCTCACTCTCACCTAGGGACAATTTAGAGTTATCAGTTAACCTAACAGTCATGTTTTTGGTCTGTGGGAGGAAGCCGGAGTACCCGGAGAGAACCCACGCAAAAACTTTTTTATTAAAAAACAAAAAGGAATGCTGACTCAGCATTCACATTATGAAATCTTTGTTTTCTCCATATTTTCTTTACTTTATTATTTTTTCCTGTTGTTGTGTCTGAAGCCCATCACCTTACTGCTGGAGGCAGCTGCAGCCAAAGATATGTCCTGCCTCGTAGCGGGGTACTGCCGTGTCTTTGTGGACCCAAACCTGAACGTCTTCCCCTGGACGGATGAAAAGAAGCACAGAGTCTCTGCAGAAGAAGGTACGAGTTTGGACAATAAGTGGACRTTTTCTTGTGAATAAATTAGCAAAACTTTCACGGTAAAGTCTGGTACTTGTGATGCTCAAGCGATTTAAATTTTTGTAAAAATGCTTACAGGTTACGTGTCACGATGTGCRAGTGACTCGGACGACTCCTCAGAACTGGACATGGACCCGCTGGTCAACCTGAAGTCTCACGACAACAAACCTCGTCTCAGATCCTCGTCTGACTCTGAAGGAAGGAAAAGAAAAAATCGAGACAGAAYGAGATCCAGAGGCAGCAAAGAAAAGGGAGATATACTTCTGGAGGTGAAAAAGCTCAAAGAGAATGACGCGTGTGAGGACACACGGKGGAAGGAGAAAGACGGGGCAGAAATTCAGATCCAGATCACGAACGATGACTCCGGTAAACAAAACCTGAAGGTTGGAGACGGAGAGGAAGAGGGAGCGKCGGAGGAGCAGCCGTCAGAAGCGTCAGACTCCTGTCACACTGACTCCCGCATCCTYACCAGCCCCTCCAGCGACTCGCTGGATGCCCTGGAGGAAGATGACCTCATTTCCTGCTCCTCCTCCTCCACACGTCCGAACACGGTGCCAGAAACTCACGTCTGTGTCCGCTCTCCCTTTCAGCTGCACCTCCACTCCGATGGCAACGTTCAGCCTCACCTCCTGGCTCCTCCTCCTGCTCACTCTCACCCTCTCATCCACCTCACAGCTGTCAGCACTGGAGGAGGAGGAGGAGGAGGAGGAAGCTGCAGGAGGTCCAGAAATGGAGCTGATCCCCAAACCTTCAAATCTGACTCCTCTTCTGACGTCCAGAACCCTTCAGGTGAGCTCTGCTCAGTCGACAGCTCCCTGTGYTTCGCTGAGCTCTCCCGCCTGGCCGACCTCCTGCCAAGCCCTCCCGAAGCTAGTGAGGAAGATGAGGAGGAGGAGCTAAGAAGAAGAAGAAACATTCAGAAAGAAATATCTGTAACAGGGGGCGGTGATGTTGACCCTCCACATTCCCCGTCTCCATCATCCCCCTCCTCCCACAAAGACTACGTGTTCAACTTCGACCAGAGCGACGCTCGCTGCTACTACAACCTYTGCTCCAACATCACCCCCGACAGCACCCTCAGCCCCCCACGCCCCCACCACCAGGAGAACGAGGAGGCTGCGGAAGGAGGCGAGGCCGAAGAGRTGGAGCCGACCCCCATCCTCCAGCCGCCCCCCGGCTTCGGAGACAGCAGCTCTGACGAAGAGTTCTTCGATGCCAGGGAAGGCTTCGCCTCGCCTGAAGACCTGACCTCAGGYGTCGTCCAGAGAGGTGATTCAGAGTCATCACGAGATCGAAGGATCTTTTTAACATGAAGCAAACAACTTATTTACTTTAGAGATTCAAGATGGCCGCCACAGCTGTTTGACTTGAGCAAACACAAAAATATCAGTTTACCAGAGATTCAGCTAAAATGTAGCGCTAATAGATAGCGAAATGCGGCAGCCATTTCTGATACTTTTTAAATTTMTTGTTATTTTTATTCAAAAACTCATTGGTAAATAGGTAAATTTCTTACTTTAGTGAATTTTGTTCACTCAGAGATGCTATTTTTTGATTTTCAGCAGGGGTGGGCACTAGTCCACTAAAGCACAAATGCGCTATTTCTGGACCTAAATTTCTCCTTTGCGCTTTAGGGGTTTTACTCGTTTCTTCGAAYGATGTTTGCTAATTGCAAATAATGTTTCAAATTTGATCATCAATTTTGTCTAAAGTAAAGGGAGAGAGCCGTCTAAACGCACGACAATTTGTAGCCACATAAATCTTTCAAACTTCATCATCATTTTCTTGAACGTTGGAGAGGAAAGCTGTCTCTTGTCAACACAATGGAGCTCCACTGTGTGGAAACTGACCCTTCAAGCAGCATTGTGTTCACAGAGTTTTATACTCTGACTGACTGTCCTTCTTGGTGACAGTTTTCATTTAGTAGAATTCCCACAATTCTTTGCRTGGCAGGAAGCAAGTGGAGCTACGTCACAGGGCGACAATCCACCTGCGGCTCTGATCTGCAGAACCATGCTCAGCTGTRCAGTTTGTACCTCCTCTCCGAGGGACACCGYGGCAATAAATATTAAATAAATAATAATTATAAATAAAGAAACACGGAACCATTTAAATTCACGCTCTTATTGTGAAATGAACGGGTTCCTGTTCATCCTGYAGGCTACCCACAATGCGTTGCTTCAGTTTTACAATAAACAGTTTAAAATTACTAATATATCTGMATGTTTTCTYACTGAAGCCCTACCATAAACATAAGAARATGACCAAGAAGCAGCAGAACTAGCAATCCACAGCTATTTTTTAACACCAGGACTCAAAAGTCTGTTTCAACAAAKCACCTCCCCAAACTGCGATGACGTGMCAATCTGAGTAAGATAAATGAACTTTCCACTATTTGGCAGTAAAGTGCTGACATGTCTCATGGTTAYACTGGAATGTTTTCTGATAAACTGAGACAAACTTGTGCTTTATGTTGAGCTTTTGCTAAGTTTTATTGAGCACATGTGCTTTTGAACTTGCGGACCTAAATAAATTAACTAGCACTTTAGAAATTGCACAATTACATTTTGAATTAGCACTGCCCACCACTAATTTTCTGATTAAGTTGTTTAATGAAAAATTAAGTTTTAATGTTTTCTTTCTTGCAGATAATCAGAACTCTCTCAGTGCTCTGAACCCGGGTGACATCAAAGTGGTTCTGATGGATCCAAACAAAGAYGGAGGAGCTGAGGGGAACAAAACGCAGGGACACCAGAAAAGAGGAGACATCGAAACAATTTTCAACTTCAGAAAGAGGTCACGAAAGCGACGTTCTTTCATGGAGACTGATTATACTTCCAGAGTCTCTTATCCAGAACCTGATCCAGAATCAAAACCCAACCTGCTTAAAAACAGTTTGTCAGAATCCAGTGATGGCCAGATGCTCAGTTCAGATCCAGAACCCTCAAAGCAAACCCAGAACCCCAGTCCTACTGTGTCCTCGCTCACTCACATTGAGGGAGAACCAGCCCAGCTTGAGTCCAAACCCATCCTGTCAAAACCCCGCCCGCACAGACCAGGTTCTGTTTCTGCTTCTGACCCGAAACAAGACCTGAAGGCCTTCTCCAGGAGCAGGAAACAGGAAATGGAGATGGAACCCGACGCCATGGAATCCAAGTCAGTCACGGATGTGGTGATGGCGGTGTCTCCGACCATCACTGTCATCCGCTGTCGGGTTGATCCTGACGGGAAGGAGAGTGCAGACCGGAGGGGCGACGGGAAGGAGGAAGGGGAGGGGCATGAGGAGGTGGGTGAGGAGAAGGTGCAGCCGTCAGGTGTGTTCACCGATCACATGTTTCTGCCTGACATCACCGAGGAGGAAGGAGGCAAGGAGGAGAGGACGGAAGGATTCTCYTCCAGCTTGAAGAGACCCCTCGTCAGTGATGAAAGACCCCAGGAGGCTGATGCATTGCCCGAATGTTTAACTGAACTAAATCAAAAAGACTCTTTGGATTCCCATTTGATTGCCCCACAGATAAATAAAAACATGGATAAGTATTTCCCTTTACTCTGCTCACCACCGGCACCTCCACCATCACCTGTTCTGCCTCCAAAACTCACTGCACTCAAAAGTGACTGTTCCGTACAAGAGGAAAGAAGCTCAGAGAACATGGAAACATCAAACAAAATTATTATTTTAAATCATGAACAAGAAAGTCCAGGTCTTGGTTTGGATACTAGTGTGCATAGTAATGAGACAAAGCCATTAACACGGCCTTTAACAAGCATCAATGACGACGACGCCGTCGGTGTTCCTAAATTTACCACCACAGCTAGTGACGAAGTTACAGAAAGCTCCAACTCGGACAATGTGTTTGAGGACGACGATGATGTTGAAACTAGTTATTCTCTAAATTATGGCTCAGACGATGAGAAAGAGAATAGGACTACAGCTGCGAAGCATAGCGTCTTTGGTAGTTCGACTGAAGCAGACAAATATGAACCCAACATCAGCATTCAGCCTCTTCAAACCTGTGACGTTCAAACAAAGAGTCATCCTGCTGATGCCGATTACAATCTGGCTATAAACTCCATCACGGCAAAGCTCGGAGCTGCCACAAGTGTCTTATCACCAACCTTTAACTCAGGGGGTGTGCTTCAGGAAGCCTCAAATCAAAAACCCAACTCGAGTCTTGAAGCTAAAGAGAGGTTCGCAACGGGTAAAGACAATACAATCCACAATCTGCCCAACGAACTAGTGCCATCAACTCATTTCCTTTTCCAGTCCTGTTCACCAACCATCATGGGCCGTTTATCTGCTTCGACTCTCAGGGGCAAGATTCAAAATTTACCACTTTATTTATCACGCTCCCACGAGAGTCTGAACCGAGCCGAGGTTGGGGGTAAAGCCCAAAGTCCTGCTGAGGACATGAGTAGAGACTACGCAGATATTACCCCCAAAGCATCGAGTGTTCATAATGTCACACAGATGGTTGGTGTTGAGACGGGTGAAGCCACGGATTCAGACGACTCGGATGCAACAGTGACTGGATCTGTGGCAGACAGGGAGAATTTTGGTGAARCAGCGTCAGCAAAGAGTTTTTCTTCAGGGCCAGAGGTAGATGAAAGCTCTCAGCATCCTGTACAAACTGAACCCAAACCCAGTCAACAAAGTCCAAACTTCAGATGGAACGGCAGTACACCAGGACCCGTAACGGAGCCCCCTGCCTCCATAATAACCCTACTCCAAAATGATACCAAGGGGTTAAAGGTAGACACTCCAGGATCATTAACAAACTCTCCAGAACTAAACATACAAGTCAACAGTTTACAGGAAGACATCCCAGGTTTTAAATTCAGGGATCAGTCAGTTCTGACCCAGATAGTGGTGACTACACAGACTCTGAATGGACCAGGACTTGCTTTTCATGGTCAATCCCAAAGAACCAGTACTGACAGGCCTTTATTGGATCTTTGTAGACATTCAGATCAGAGTTCAGACCCATCAAGAACACCTTCACCAGGCTGCAGAGTCTTTACTATTTGTGAGAATTTGTCTCATTCAAAAACCCTGGTGGACTCAATGTCTACGACGCCCCTGAAGTCTGAGTTTGGTTGTGGTTCTGTGCTCACATCTGGATGTCAATCGGTTACAGAGAGTATCCAGATACCTCTGGATGCTTGTGGCTGTCCAACAGTTTACACAAACTGCTTCAGCGGGGAGGACAACTTCGACGAGGAGCTCACTGTCTACGAGTTCTCCTGCCGCTCCCAGAGCAGCGGTCTAAACCAGACTTCTGAGGGGGGTCTTCATCTTATAACGTCTCCGCCTGTTCCCTCCTTTAGCTCTCCCGTACCCCCTCCATTTTCACGCCCCATTTTTTTCTCCTCCTCCTCCACCTCTGAGTTCAGCCCCCTCCTCTCCCCACAGTCGGACACTTCATACATGTCTCAAAAGCACAAAGACACGATCAGTCGTTTAGGTCAGCAGTGTTACCCAGAACCTCCTGCTGGGTTCAAAGTCCTTCGCAGGGACGTGGACAAGCTCCTTTGTGTTTTAGAAGGCAGTGGTGTTGACAAATCTGTGACGGGACACGGAGGTCGCCACCGAAGGGACACCTGCCCGGCGCACTTTACAGAAAATAAAAGGCTTCTCCAGTTAGAGGCCCGTCGGCTGATGACGGGCTGCCAGAAGGTGGTGGGGATTGGACAGAGCCAGCAGGAAATGCTTCTCTCCCTGGCTGACAGCTTCCGGACCCTGGTGGAGCTGGCCACAATCTGCCTCTGGTTCTCCGGCTGCGACCGGTGTGACCGGAGGAATGCGGAGGCGGTAGCAGGCCTGGCGGACGTCGCTCGCTCGTTCAGGGACTTCTGCCTGGCGGCAGAGAGAGCCAGCAGCAACCGCAGCTGCCAGGACCTGAGCACCAAGCTGCTGGCCAAGCAGTGCACCGCGCTGACGGCGTCCGTCTTCTGCCTCACCCAGCTGTTCCGCACTCTCACCTCACTGTGAGGGAACCAAAACCTCTGAAGACCCTTTGTCTGCAGGGGGGTCACTGCTGACTACCAGAACTCAACATTATGCAGTCACCAAGGAAGAGTTCATACTTACAGCTGCATGTGTGACTGACTTTCTGCTGCACAACTCAACAAATCAGACTCCAATTTCTGAAATGATGTACTTGAATGTATTCTTTATGTATTGAGCTTATGTATTCATTCAGTCATTTAATGAATGTGTTGCTGCGGTGTGTTTGAGAAAGTAAGGAATATCAGGGATGGAAGACATTTTTACAGATCGCTTCATACAAACAGAAAGCAGTCGTATCCAAGTATTAACCCACACAGAGACACGCGCATCTGTCTGGTTTGTCTGTTCAAGCGTTCGGTGAACAGTCAATATTTTTTTGTCTCACATTCTGTAACTTTACTCTGTCCAGGCTGACTGTGAGGACATTTTTGAATGTTTACAAAACCAAAAAAGTTACCTTAGAAGCGATTCAATCAAACGAAGCCTGAAGGTGTTTAACATTTTATAAACATAGTGGACGTGTGTGCAATATGGTTTTATTAAACAGTTTGAGTGTGCCCAGGGGTGCCACCAAAAAAGGGGGCCTTTATTTGCTGGTTCCCATACTTGCCCCCTGGTTTCATCCTCCTGAGTCCTGAGCTTTTATTTGATGTATGTCMTCCAGAACATGGAAAATTCCAAAATCTTGAAGACATTGTGTTTCCCATCTGAGATGCTTTTTCAACTCAGAATCAGAGAATGTAGCGTTCCGAGCTTTTAGACCATATGAGATGCTCGCATGCTTGGTGTGTTTTTTTTAAAGTTTTCTAACAGTGCTGCTGTGTTTTGGTGGTCAGTTCTGTAGTCTTGTCCCAAAGCTGCAGGTTTGAGCATTGATAAGGGCATCCGGCATGAAACAAATGTCAAATCTTCCATGTGAATTTGCTCCCTGTGGCCACACCTGAAGAATGGAATAATAATTGGGATTAGAACTGTAGTCCTGTTTCAGAAAGCTTATATGCCATTAGAAAAGTCCTCAAATTGTTCTTTCTGGCTTTTAGTAGCCCCCTTCAAAACCTTCCTGGAGGCGCCCCTGGATGAGCCACATTTAGCTTAGCACTTGTATTACTGATGGATATTTATTTATTATTTTACCTGCAGTTAAACGACCAAACCATTTAGTCTGAAGGGCTGTTGCTGTCAACTCNCTAGGACTAAATTGGTCCACAATAAGTTTATGAAAGTATACTCAGAAGTATACTGAGAGTAATCTTTTAAGTATAGTTTAATCTTGAAATATACTACGAAAAAAGCAGTCTGTGTGAAAATGTACTTTCAGTGTACTATTAAAGTTTATCTTGGCCAGAAGTTTAAACATTAGTATAGACTAAGTATACTTAAACATTGAGCATATTTTGAGTATAAGCCAAGTATAGTGTAAGATAAACTTGGTTAAGTATATCTCAGATAAGTACATAAAAAGAAAACTGGAAGYATACTTTAAATTATGTTTAAAATTAGTACACTTAAAGGATACTTGCATAGACTACTTTTTGCCAACCCCTGACCCACCAACGGTTTAGGCTTTGGTCCTCATTAGTACCAATTTGTCCCCACAAGTAGGTGTGTATACCMAAAATGGGCCTCATACATTAGGGAATACCAGCCCCCACACACACATCCTTGTATTTGCATCAAACTGAGRACTTTGTATTGACTTCCATTCATTTTTGTAACTGTATTTATGCCTAACCCAGTCATTTTCTCTAAAACAACCATTACTGGTCTATAGGTAACCCTAACCTGAACCAAAACCTAATTCACACCATACCTCTAAACATAACTGGTAAAGCACAGTAGACCGGGAAAAGGTCCTCACTTTACATCAAAGACCTCACTTTGAAAATAAGTATTTTGCAAGTGGTCCTCACTCTGTAGCAGAAACAAGTACTCACACACACCCTGTGATAGGAGTTCAGACATCGAGTGTTGGACGTATAAACTGAAACCAGGCTGTGATGCTGCTCACAGGGAATCATCTGGCCTCAGGTGATAACCGGAGCCATCGGAAACATCTTTAACGCCATCATTAACTACGTCTTCCTCTACCAGCTGGATCTGGGTGTGGCGTAAGTGTCCCAACATTTCATATCTGTCAGTAGAAACGTGTATTTAACGATGTTTATATGTGACCTATAAATCACTTTTAAACTTCCACATTTAGAGCTTCTTTATTAGYGATGAAGCTGAATGTTAGGTGGAGTTTAAAATGCTGATTAAACGGTTTCTTCTGTTTTGCAGTGGATCGGCAGCAGCTAACGCCATCTCTCAGTATTTACTGGTTGTGGTTCTTTTTGTTTACATTTGTGTGAGGGGTCTTCATAAAGCCACGTGGGGAGGTCAGTTTTTCACTTTAAGTGTCATCACCTGATGGAGAACATTATTGTTGCAATATGCATAGTCAGTATCTTACCTGCAGCAGACAAACAGTGAATTTCTTAAAATTCTCAAAGTTTTAGCAGCAGTTTACGTTTTAATTCTGACCCTCTGGTTTCTGGCCCTCAGGCTGGTCCCTCGACTGTCTTCAGGAGTGGGGGTCGTTCGTCCGCCTGGCCATCCCCAGCATGCTGATGCTCTGTCTGGAGTGGTGGATATTTGAGATCGGAGGGTTCCTGGCCGGGGTGATCAGTGAGGTGGAGCTGGGGGCACACGCCATCATTTTAGAGCTGGCTGTTGTGGCGTACATGGTACCACTTGCTCTACGTTCACAAACGTACGACTTTTTCCTTTGATTTGCAGTGCATGATTATTATTTTTCTTTTTTTAACTAGTTCCCTTTAGGACTTTCTGCTGCTGCCAGTGTTCGGGTCGGGAACGCTCTCGGTGCAGGAAACATTGAGCAGGCCAAGCTGTCCTGCAAAGTTCCCATCGTCTGTGCTCGTAAGAACAACACACCTGTGGTCAAACATGCTACCTGTTTATTTATTTATTTATTTATTTATTTATTTATTTATTACAAACTATGCACTGAGGAACAGAGACTCCTGTCTACTGGTTATGGTAAGGACTGAATATTTATATTTTAACAAATAGTTTGAATAGTTATAAAACTCCAGAGGTTTCAAACTTCACAATAAGCTGCAGCATCTGTTTGAACTAAACAGATTGTCAAAAAATAAATGACATATTAACTTTTTACACCAAGTGCTTTCTTACTACAGACAACAACAAATATCCCAAACTGAGCAAAACCAGTCAAATCTTTTTATTATTATTATTATTATTATTATTATTATTATTATTATTTTAGAAACATTCTAAAAATGATTCAGTTTCGTTTGACATTTAATAAAACCTGACTTGTGTTCAGATGTTCTGCTGCAACATTTTCACCTGGAATGWTCCTTATAATCTAAAGTCTTGAACTGGATCTGCATGAAGAAATATTTAGTAAGTTTACGCCTTCAGTGCCAGGAACACCGCGTATACGACAAACTGTGTCTCTGTTTATATTTATGAAAACTTAGTAAAAAAAACTTTAGTTCTTCATATTTAGCTGTTTTGTTTCATTTGGTTGCATAAAAATAAACTTTCAGGTACTTTGTTTCCCTTCAACAAAGAATCAGTTCCCGCTCTGCTCTGACCTCCATGTGAAGATGCCTCAAACAAACRGAGTTCCTCCTCCTCCATCTGAAACGAAGCATGCTCAAAGCCATGAAATGTCTCATCAGGGATTTGATCTGTGTATGAMTGGATGATATTCTCTGTTGCTTTGCTCAAATATCTCCATTAAAAAGGATTTTAAGATTCTGTTTTCTGGGTGTTTTTTTTACTCAACTCTGGTGAGTGCAGCTCTGAGAAACTAAAATCTGAACTGTGCAGCTACAGATGTTTCACTGTTAAAGCAGCCATGCTCCGTCTCTCTCCTGGTTTCTGCATCCACAGCTTCTGGACAATGATCTGAGAAACACTTTCAGCCACAGAGGAGAACAACTACAAGGCTTAGACTTAGATAAACTGAGCCTCGTCTGTCTCATCCTCTGTGGCAACATGGAGGAGACAAAACGGTGACCTAACAGGGCAACTATTAGATTAACAGCATCTGTTTCACAAACTATCTGTAGTATTTTTACAATAAACAATAACTTTTCATTCATTAAAAAAAAACATAAATTCTATATATAACATATAAACCACAAATAAAATAAAATGAAAGGAAGCAGAAAGAAGAAAAACAAGTATTACATCTGCCCCCTTTTAAAATAAATAAATTCAAGCAATGTTAAACTTTAATTAACAAAAATAAAACAAAACAAAAAAGTTCACTCCTTTTTTGAGCAACATTTCTTATTAATAATAATAAACAAGAATATAAACAAGAACACATTTAACTTGAAAAGGAGTGGGAAGAAGACAAACTTTACTCCCACTCCCTATTCACAAACACACACACACACACACNCTCAGAAACAAATATCCTACTTGTGCTGAACATTTAGAAATATTTTACCTAAATTCATTTTGCTTTAGATTTTCTTCATAAATCTATAAATAGCAGCTAAAAGAAAGTGTTTAAAATGATAATTGATTATTTTCTGTCTATGTTTCTTGCAGTCATTTTTCCCTGTTTTGTCGGGGCAACCTTCGGCTCTTCCCGGAACGTCATCGGCTACATTTTCACCTCAGATCCGTGAGTGAAACATTAAAAATGATGTCTCACTCATCTGTTATTAAACGCGAACTGCGGCCGGCGCTGACGCACATCAGTGAGGTCAAAATAACTCATCTGAGTCAGAAAATGTCAAAGGAAAAACCACAGCTCTGTATTTTGGATTTTAACTCAGCTTCTGTTCTGCAGAGAAATCCTGCAGAGGGTTTCTGACGTCATGGTTGTATTCGGCTTCACACATGTTGCTGATGCCGTGTCGGTAAGATGCTGTTTCGCAACATTTAAAGCAAAACGCTCGTCCAGGAAATAACCTGATGTTTCCTGCCTGAAGGGTGTCACTGGTGGGGTTCTGAGAGGAGCAGGTAAGCAGCTGATTGGTGCTCTGTGCAACCTGGTGGGCTACTACGTCATCGGTTTCCCCATCGGTGTTTCGCTGATGTTTGCAGCCAACATGGGGATCGTTGGTGAGAACAAACTGTCCTAAACTAAAGTTTTAAAGTCAGTTTTTTCTTCTGTTTGCCTTTTAAAACGTTCTCCTGTTTCCCCACAGGGCTGTGGACGGGACTCACAGTCTGTGTGCTGATGCAGTCAACCTTCTTCACCATCTTTTTGTACAAACTGGATTGGAAGAAAGCTTCGGCRGAGGTGTATAGCCTGATGCATGTTCCTCAAAGAACAAGCAGTCAGTATCCTACCTGCAGCAGAGTGATCTCAGTTCTTCTAAAACAATTCAAACGTAAAACTGTTTAATTAGTTTTTTTTTTTACCATCCTCTGAATAGTTCTTTGACTTTTTGACGGTCCTTATTGTAGGAAGAGACAGTTARCAAATTTAAAGTAGCTGCAGTTAGATGTCAGCAGTTAGCATCACAACAGGAATAAATAAAATTCAAATTCCTGCTCTGASAAACTGCGAGAATCACTCTGACCACTTTCTGCTGCAGGTAAGATAGTGACAGCGCTAACCACACTTTAAAAAACTCAAACTGCTGAATTAGAACTGAAGTTAAATGAACGCTTTCTGTTTTTATTCAGGCTCTCGTGAGGGCAGGAGTCCAGATCAAAGAAGCTAAAGAGATGACAGAAAACTCAGGTGAGCAGAAAATGTTTAATTTGTGTTTGTCTGCTACCTGCAGCTTTTGTTGACTAAACTTCTTTCATGTTCTTCTTTCAGTATCAGCTTCTCATCATTTAAATAAAAAACAGACTTAATTTTTATATTTAATCTGTTTATGGCTGCAAATGTGCTTTTGTTTTAAAGATAAATTATATTCTTCATAGAAATAAATCTTAAATTATTTCAAAACTTTGTTCTGACTTTTTATAAACTATTTCTGTGTTTCTGTTTTATTTTTGTCTTCTTATAATACTTTTAGCTGTTAGCTTGCTTTTGCAACCTTTAGCTTTTAATGGCTTTTTGCTACATTACCAACACTTTTACTGTTTTTAGCTTTTGCATTTTTTAGCTGCTTGTTAGCATTTTGTTTTTTTTAACTAGCTTTTGGCTTGTTCTGACTTTAAGTGTTAAGCATTTCACTGATTTCCTTTTAAACTGAAAAATATAAATAAAACAACAGATATTTTAGGTGTTTTTTTTTTCACTTTTTAGTTTAGAATGTTTTGGCAGCAGACGGTGAAACGTACTGAATGTGTTCATTAAAACTTTGCTCTCTAAATGTCAGACTGTAATCACAGCCAGCACCCAGCCAGYGTGGCAGCCTCAGGTCCTGACGTGGAGGACCATATTTACCAGGACGTACTTGGTCCAGACCAGAATAAGACCACCACCACCACAGTGGGAGAGATTCTGTCGGTGAGGCAGCTGGTTCTGCGCCGAGGCCTGGCCGTGCTGCTCATGTTGATCATCCTCGCTGCTGGAATCGTCGCCTCGTTCTTCCTCACYGGGCTGCTGAAGCCTCAGTGAGGTTAAAGCTGACGGGACAAAAGATTTCAGCTGATTCTGATGCAGAGATCAGTGCTGCTGAAGGTGATCAAGCCAGAGAATCCAAATATTTATAGATGTTTTTAACTGTTGTGCTCTGTTTCTGTTAAYGTGGAAGAACCTTTAGCTGTTTGTCTTTATAGCAGCTGTAAAAATGTGATGAAATCAGGACTTTGCTGCAGTTTGAAGTGGGCCTCATGCAGAAGCATGGGCTTGATGATTATCATGTTTTTTTATTTGTAAACAGCTTGGAAGCACTGGAGATGCAGATTATTAAGTGTAAACACAAACCCAAAAACTTTTCTGTAATGTGGGAATTTTTAAGTGTTTTTGTTCCTGTGAAAAATGTGAGAAGCAGAAAATCTTATTTTAAAACAAATCACTAAAACATTTTACACAAATTAGTTCAAAACTGACTAAAAAATGTTCAAACTTAAAAAATAATAATAGTAATAATAATAAATACAAGCTTCTAGTCTGATGCATCAGTGCTGATCTGGTGATGAATTTTTTAAAGACATCAGTTGCTAAAGGTACAACTTTTTATGTTTATTATGAAGACTTGAYCTTGTGCATAAAACTGCTGGAAAACTGTAAAAAGTAAACATATAAAAGCAAATTACACAATGTTGCTACAGAGAGATGTTTTTGGTAGCATTTGTAAACGGTGAAAATATCCCTTAGCTAAAAATGCAATTATCCATTAAGTATACTAATTTTAAACTGAAAAAATTGTATACTTCCAATTTATTATCATTATTATCTTTTGTACTTATCTGAGGTATACTTAACCATGTTTATTTTACACTATACTTGGCTTGCATTAGTCTATGCTAATGTTTCAACTTTTGGCCAAGATAAACTAGTAGTACACTAAAAGTACATTTTCACACAGACTGGTTTGTTTGTAGTACAAATATTTCAAGATTAAACTAGAATATACTTTGAAGAATACTTTCAGAATATTTTTGAGTATACTTTCATAAACTTATTGTGGGCCAATGTAGTCCTAGAAGTATWCTTGCTAGTAAACTGCTATAATACTTATATCGGTATACATGGTAAATAAAAGTACACTTAGGGAAATACACTTTTTATGTAATTTTGTATACTTAATGACATGTACTTAAAGTATACTTCTTTTTGGTAAGTTTATAAACTTAAAAAGATATTATAACAGTATATTTTAAGCATACTTTTTATTAAATTTTTTTTAAAAGTTCCACTTTAGCATGAACAAGTATTAAATCGGTGTACTTTTTAGTACACTACAAGTACATGATATACTTAAACAAATACTCAAGTATACTTAAAATAAACTTCAAGTATACTGCMTTTTGAAAACAGTTTGAAATCAGATTTTTATTTACGCAGTAGTTTCAGCAGCAGCTAATTTAACTCAATGTTTWTCCAACATCTGAATAGTTCTGAGTTGTAAAGGGACTACTTCAGGAAATATTCCTGCAGGAGAATTTAAGCTTAAGATAAAAGGGCTCTCTCTAAGTTAATGGAAAATTACTGGTCCAACATCAAACAGTAACTGATATACTGAACTGTAATTTCATTGTGCTCTGTACAATGACAATAAAGGTCTATCTTATCTTATCTTNTTTCTGTCCAGTAGAGGGCAGTGTCATCTCTAGAATTTGCAGTGCCTATTAAAAGAATTCATATTTTTATTATCATCAGATTCATTCTTCATTTTGCAGCTGACAGCTACACTTTTATTTTCTTTCCTTTAACTGTCTATTTAAAATTAGCAACGTGAGAAAATTATTGACAGCGTTGGTGTTTTTTATTTACATTGATTTATTTTTCCAAGTTTGCCACTAGATGTTGCTAAAACGACTCTTTGAATGAATGAACTCAATTTGTTCAGCTTWGAGGTGCAGAGAAAGTACTAGTATTGCAATTAATTTGTAATGCTACATCAGAAGTTGCTCCTATTTGTTGAGGAATATCAAGAGGTCTTCTAGAGTCACTATGAAGTGAGACCAGTCTCTGGCAACTAGCTGTTTAACAGTAACAAAATCAGAAACTTTGGGGAACCATAATTGTAAAATGTCAGTAAACGGAGTGCCATTATTCTGAAATGCTACATTAGAAATTGCTCAGAATTGTTGAGGAAAATCTGGAGGTTTTCTAGAGTCAGTCTGAAGTGAGATCAGTCTCTGACAACTAGCTGTTTAGTTGCAATAAAGACAGCAACTTAGGGGCAGAGAAATTTATAAATTAAATATTGGGAGTGCCTTTATTTTTAAATGCTACATCAGAAGTTACTCCTATTTGTTGAGGAACATCGGGATGTCTTCTAGAGTCACTATGAAGTGAGATCAGTCTCTGACAACAAGACATTTAGTTGCAATAAAAACAGCAACTTAGGGGAACCATTATTGTAAAATGTCAGTATAGGGAGTGCAATCATTTTGAAATGCTACATCAGATATTGGTCAGAATTGTTGAGGAACATCTGGACATCTTCTAGAGTCAGCCCAAAGTGAGACCAGTCACTGACAACTAGACATTTAGTTGCAATAAAGACAGCAACTTAGGGGCAAAGAACGTTACTATGTAAGTATTGGGAGTGCCATTATTTTGAAATGCTACATCAGAAGTTGCTCAAAATTGTTGAGGAACATCCAGAGGTCTTCTAGAGTCAGTCATTAGTACATTAGTATACATTAGTATACTTAACATTAGTATACAGACTAAGAATACTTAAACTTTTAGTAGTATATTTTCACTGCAAGCCAAGTATAGTGTCAAATAAACTTGGTTAAGTATATCTCAGATAAGTATTTAAAAGGTAAACTGGAAGTATTTGTAAACTTGTTGGCTCCAGCTGATCATGAGTCTGGAGCTGTGCAGCTTGTATCATCCTGCAGTTACACAACCACTCCCCCATGCAGGGGTTGTTTTAAAGTCCGTTTATTTTAGGACAGATATTCTTCCACTGGTGACAGGTTGTCTTTGTTATTGTTGCCCTGCTCTTTAACTTATTAACTTTTAACTTCCTCTGTCAACTCAGCTTTACAACCTTGTTCTCTTTCTGGACCTGTAGAGAATTTGCAGCAGGGGTTCATGTTCTCCAGTGTTTTTCCTGTTTTCTTTTCAGCTTTAGCAAAAATGGATCCTCATTAGTTTCCTTTTAGAAACATTCAAACTGATAGAAAGACAAGAATTGTTTATAAAACTCCATCACTGATGAATCACAGTGTTGGAGGTTAAATATGAGCTTATGTTTCAGAACAAACAATGATTGTGTCAAAATCTGTTTGTGTGAACTTGTGAGGAGAAAACACTAATTCAGCTGATTTCAGGTGTGTCCTTCAAAGAGAAGCTTAACGCCGTCGTGCTTTGTTCTCTTTTGTTCTTCGCTGGCTGAGAAACGWATGTCTGCTTTTAATTGTAGACCACACAGCAGCTCGTTGAAGTCTGTGGGAAAAGTAAAGATTTAACATCCTGAGATCAACTTTATTTGTTTGATTTATTTTAATTATATCAACTCTGCTTCTGGAGCTTATTTTCTGGGAATATGAGGCAGTTTTTTAATGTGTTACACGTAGGCCAACGTGCTCCTTCTGAAAACTCTGAGAACACGAAGCAGATGTTCTGATGGTAATAAGAACATTGTAACTGTCACATTTGAAGCTTCTTGTTTTCAAAAGCCACAGTATTCTCTAGAACCCATTGATRCACCAGAACCAAAAGTCCTGCTTGGTGTCGAAAGTCTCAACAAAACCCTGGGAATAAAAACAGCTTCAGCTTCATGAGGACTGTGTTAAACATGCTGCAGCTTCAGCCCACATCTCAAGGTTTAGTCAGGGCGAGCCACTTATTTCTTTTTGTGCCAAAAGCTTCGCTAGAGACTAAACTTAATGACTGATTAAAATACTTCATTCTCACTTRCACTCTTCTTCTAACAGAAACACAGTCTACCTTCACTCTGATTTCTTTTTCTGTCTTTCTTTCTTTTTCTTTTTTTGGTCTGGTTGTTAGAATTTAAATGTGACCTCCATCAGACTCCAGACTGAACGGTTTGAGGCCTTGAAGCAGGTGGAAGTAAAACACAAAACAGAGTGCCATCAACCAATCAGCTTCCAGGAAGTGATTGTCCACATTAAAAGTCACAACACCTTACGAGCAGAAGGAAATGTTCTTATTTGACTGCAGTGGAGTCACAGACACAGCTTTCAAATCAAGAAAAAGGGCCTGAATGTGTGGAACCATGGGGGGGGGGGTCGATCAGCTGGTCACGTATCAGAGAGAACCTGCATTCAGGACCATCCTCAGATGTGTACCAACACTGGAGGGGGATGTCCCSGCCGTCTGATTGGATGCGGGTGGGCCAATCAGGTGGCAGCTTCTGTTTTTTTGGTACCCTGTCTGCCCCCCTCCCTCAGAGCTTTAAAAGCAGCTGAGGACCTGGAGCTGAGTCTAGAGCCTGCATCCTCCCTCCCTGAACACCAGCCCCGCCTCCTGCCCCTCTTCATGCAGAGCACTTTGATGAAAACCAGAATTATAAATAATTTAAAGTTGTTATTCCTCTTGAACTTGAGTGGTTCATGTAAGTTTTTGAAAGTGTTCCCGTGTCCCTCAGTCTGTTGTCTCTCACGGCTCAGCCCTTCAGATGAGTCTTTTTCTGCTCCTGGACTCAGTTTCTCAGCTGTGAGAAACACCTCTGTTCCCTCTTCATCACTAAGAACTGACTGTACTGTTCACTGTGGGTACGTATTCACTCAAAACACCGACACCTCCTGTACGCTCAGGGGACTCATTTTCTCCATGTGCACGTTTTTATACCAATATATATATATTTTTTATTATTTAGCCTCAAGGTTGTCCATCACGTACGTTTATAAATGAGATGCAGTAAAAGTGTCTCTGAACTCTGAAAACTGGGACCAACTTTACTTTTCTGTGGTTAAAAACTGAACCTCACAGGTTTTATTTAGTGTTTTCTGGGAGTGACTCTGTAGATTTCAGTTCTTTATTTTTGTGCATTTTTCTTCTCACATCATTGAAATTGTACCCAGCTCCTTTTTACTTTACGAGATTTAGTTTCACTGAACTTTGCATGTTTGCGACCAAAGGAGCGTTGTGGTTTTGTTTTGCATTCTTGGTCACGCACATTACTTTTGGCTCGTTTTGTACCAACCTTCTTGATTTGATTTGTTGGACCAATTTTTCTGCATTTATTATTTATCATCACCGGTTTCTCAGAGCTGGACATTCATGTTTTCTGTCAGAGGAGAGGTGTCAGAGTACTGCTGCACGTGACAGGGCTGCAAGCCTCTGCGACCCCGTGGGTTTTATTCACACAACTTAACCCTCAGGTTTGTTTCACAAAAAGTCAAACATTTTGGTCTTTTCCATCCCTAACTTTGGCTCCCCATCTTCGTCTGAAAGCTCTTTGTGCATCTCAGAGCTGCTGGAGGTGGAGGTGTAGAGGAGGCAGCAGATGCTCAGCAGAGTCAGTTTGAGGAGAAGTACSGACTCGAAGCAAAGCGATGAGTTTCATTCAGTGGACTTTAGGTTTTCTGCACCTGACTGAAGTTTTCTCTCCAGATGGACGAAATCAAAGGTTTTGTTCRGGTTCTGTCTTTTACTCCAAAGTCCTTCTTTACGTCTGGACTTTGATCTGRCCAAGTTTTTCATTCACAAACCATCAAGATTAAAAACTTAAACTTTATAAACAGAAATCTGTGTCTGGTGTAGAAAACAATAATAGGTTTTGCTCTAAGTGAAACGGCTTACTGAACCTATAAAAATGCTTTTAAAGGTGTTAAAGTATTTTTACACATAAGTCTGCATTGTTTTTATTCCGACTTGATTTGTGAGATGCTTCAACAAAATRATCCAAATTATATTGGTTGTTTGAACATAAAGGTCAAAGTATTTGCTCGTTATTTACATGATCAATATTAAACTAAATGATTAAAAACATTATTTACAAAGAGAAACTGAAAATCAAAGATTGATTTTTTTAAAACCTGTTTTTCCTGCACTGTGGTCATAT